TGGATTGAGTGAAAGTTTACAGGGCACATCATCAGCTTCACATTCAACCATTCATATAGCTTGTTTCATTACATTGATTATTATCCCCTCCATATACCATCAGTTAACAGTGTTTCTCTCTACTCTTCCATCTTCTTTTGAAGCTTTTTGTATCATTCAATAATTTGCCCAGAGAATGCTTCAATAATGAAAGTTAAGGCTTGAATTTTTCCCTAAATTCCTCCAGCTTGAGAAATGCTGTTCATTACTTTTGGTTTTCTGATTCCAGATCTTTGCACATTTCATTTTAATATTTGCCTTTGTCTTCTCGAACTGACCTTTGAAATTTTCTGTTCAGCACTTGTACCTCCTCATTCCTTCCAGTTGCTTTAGCATCTCTATGCTGGAGAGCAAGTTTCAGCGTAACTTCTGAATTTATTTTGATCTTTTCCTTGATGTTTATGATGACATCCACAATTCTTCTGGTCTTGGGTCTTTAGCGTTCAATGTATCAAATTTGTTCTTCAAATGATCTCTAAATTCAGCTGGGATATATTCAAGGTCATATTTTGGTTCTCATGGACTTATTTTCATTTTCTTTAGTCTGAATTTGCATATGAACAATTGATGGTCTGTTCCACAATCTGCCCCTGGCCTTATTTTGGCTGATGATATGGAGCTTTTCCACTGTCTCTTTCCACAGATGTAGTCAGTGGGATTTCTGTGTATTCCATCTGATGAGGCCCATGTATAAAATCCTCTTTTATGCTGTCTAAGGAAGGTATTCTAAATGAACAAATCACTGGTTTTGCAGAATTCTATTATGCAATCTTCAGCCTCATTTCTATCACCAAGGCCATATTTCCCAACTACTGATCCTTCCTCTTTGTTTCCAAGCTTTACATTCCAATCACCAGTAATGATCAATATATCTTGATTGCATGTTTGATCAGTTTCAGGTTGAAGAATTTGGTAGATTCTTCTATTTCATCCTCACTGGCTTTAGTGGTTGGTGTGTAAATTTGAATAATAGTGGTATTAACAGGTCTTCCATTCCTCTGTCAGTTTGTGATATTGTGGTGGCTTATGAGTTGCTGTGATTCTGGAAACTATGCCACGGGTATTTTAAATACCGGCAGGTCACCCACGGTGGACAGGTTTCAGATGAGTTTCCAGACAAACACAGACTAGGAAGAAGGAGAAACAAAGTACTTGTCATGGTTTAATTATGCATTTGTCAAAACTCATAGGACTCTACAGCGCAGTTACCTTATGGAAACTATGGACTATAGTTAGTAACAATGGATCAATATTAATTCATCAGTTACAACAAATATATCACATTAATGTAAGATGCTGATAATACAGGAAACTGAATAGGAGACAAACCAGGTATATAGGAGCTCTCTGTATTTTCTGTATAATTTCTCTGTAAATCTAAAATTAGTCCAAAAAGTAAAATGTACTAAAGACTTTTTTAAATAAAAAAATGTGTGTCACTAATAATAATAATAAAACAGCTCTTCCCCAGACCAGATGGAATGAATAACACAACACACAGGAAGGATAGGAAAAGGAGCATCTGATGGGAAAAAGTTAAATAAACAAACAAGTAAAAATGAAGAAGCACCAGGAACATAAACAACAACAGGGAAGTGTCCAGTGCCCACACTGTGTCCCTGGAGGAATATAAAGGCTCCCGGAGCAGTGGTACTGCATTCCAACACCTACCTCCTCAATCAGCATCTCTGACCAAACCCATCCTCAACTCACCAGAATCATGGGCTGCTGTGGCTGTTCCGGAGGCTGT